GCAAATCAAGCTAGTATTTCTCCACTGCTCAGCACCAGAAGACAAAAAAGACTGTCCTGCAAAACGATCCTTCCCTGCTTGTGAACAGTAACCAGAACAATTACTACCCACAGCACCAAGAGAACAGACTTGATGCACAGAAAAAGGGTGATGTCAAGAGTCAAATTTGTTCAGATAAGCACATAAAGATTATAAACTGAGGAAGAAAACATTTTCATGTAACAACTTTCACAAGGCTTTCACTATTGGAGTTAAAGTATCTCCTTTGGCTCCAGTGGGTTTTCTGGTGAGCCCTTATGTACATCAACAATTCAGAGAGTTTCCATACTTGCTCGCTAGGAGTTCACAAAGTGTCCTGTAGAAACACATCTTTTCTAACAGAATTATCTCAAAAAAGCCTTTGTTGGTAGGAACAGCTCGTACAACAATATCGGGTACTTTGATACTGAAAGCAAAAGAATGCACAAGAATTTCAGATGAGACACAAATTCAAAGCATCCCTTATTAAAGTCCAGAGCAATCAAAAGCTAAGCCATAGAAGCACTTTTAAGAGGATGGGATTGAGAAAATCCTGAGTGAGTAGAACCACCTCTTTATTTTGCACCCTCTGCTCCACACAGTCATCTTTCCCTTTGCACAAAGGGCTTCTGTGGGGAACACAAGTCTGCCCCACAGCCAGGAGAGCGTTTCTGTGACAGTGTCTCAGGCCATAATCAGACCACGATGGCACCACAGGTCCCCAAAGGGCAGCATATCCCGTGTGTTTGCTCAGCCTATTCTAACAGCTGGAAAATTTCACCTCTTTTCCAATTGAATTCAGTCTCTGGCTACAGAACTCATGCCAACTCAATATCTCAGCCTGATTTATGGGCAGTTCTTCATACTGAAAAGACAAGCGGAAAAGCAGCTGAACAAACAGCAGTCCTTAGGGATAACAAACAAGGCAAAACCCAGTGGGTTTGACAATCCCTAATTGCATCCCTTGTCAGCAAAAGCTCAGGAAACCCTGTTGTCCCATGTGAGCGCACCCCCCATGCTTCTGCATCGCTAATTTCGACTTTCCCTCTTTTCAAATCACTGTCTCCTGTGTCAACCTCAGTTTGCTGCTGTTATTACTGATGCTGAAGGAATTCAATAGCCATTAACTGCTAAACCTAGACTAGCAGGAGCCAACTGTTACCGATAAAGCTGTTTCCAAAAAAGACAAACAGCACCAGCAGGCTGACAGATTTTAAGGGCTGTTTCATGTATTCTACAGCAAAGAACAAAGTATCTTGCCTGACAATTTGTCATGTGTGGTTTTCATTAAATAATAATCATAAAGCCATTTAGCATTCAGCACAAACACATCTCTGACTGCACGCTCGAACAACTTACCTGTATATTAAATCAGGACTTCAGTGTTAGAGGTAGGAAGAGGCACCCAGCATCCCCTTCTTTACAGGGCTCATAATTTTACTTTTTCCATCATAATTCTTTGACCTGAAGGGCTTTTTTTCCCCTCCCCCCACTCTTCAGCACTTCCCTCATGGGGAACATAAATAAGAATGGAAGGGAGTCATGGCCCGCCCTAGAAAACTGGCAGCGTAAATACCCAACTTAAAACACCAATGAGTAATTCCCATGCAGGAATCTGAAGCACAGAACATTTGGTGGTTTACCCAAGATCAGCCTGACTGAATCAGTGATTGAACTGGAAAAAGAGTTTAGACCATCCAGTTTTCAGGAGCTGGTTTCACTAGTCTCTGAGATTTGCTAGGTGAAGCAAACATCTGTTGACCATCCAATAGTGGCTTCTGCTTGGAACTACTCATTGTGCTAAAAATGTCAAGAAAAAGGTCTCATTACGGCGCTAGTATAAAAACTCAAATTCACCTAGAAACAAGATTACTCCATGGTTGTGAATATATCACCCTGAAAACACATCAAAACCTAGCAACTACACTAAAAGCAATGCTTTGCTCTCTTGATAGTAGAGAACGTTTTCAATCAAATTTGGCACCGTTGCATCAATTCTGCATGGCTTTGGGACACTTGACCCAGTCATTATCACAAGGCTTTTACTGAAAAATCTACTCCTCTAGCAAGGTATGGGCCATAGTTGGAGAGTTGATTGTCAGATAATTGGGATTTGGATTTTTTTAATCTCCTTTTATTTTTCAAGGCTTTGCTCACTATGCCACAGCACTACGTCATCATTTGCAGTTGATAAAGCTCCTGTTCTATTTGGGAAGCTTTCAGCAGTGGACCAGACTGTAGAAGAGAAGCCCTCAGTGCTACAAGGAGAGGTGCGTTGTACGCACTAGAAGGATATTCAACGGTGTAGAAAAATAACTTCTGCAAAGGAGTTGCTACAATAAAACAGGTTGTTCAACAGGTAGTGTGTTGGTTAACTGCAGAAAAAGGTGAGTTTCGAACTACAGCTTTGGCTCATGACCTTATAAAATGTTGCACATTCCACCACTGTTTCCTTTCAACTTTTTAAGTCTACCCAGAATAAACCCCGAAAGGGATCAGTTCAGATTTATCCCTGGAGAAGTCGGGTACTTCACTGCAACACAGCCCAACTGCAGCACTCCACCCCGTCACAAAAGCACATCGCTGGAGACTGAACCCTTACATGAAAAAGATACGCTAGCCATAAAAAGAACCAATGCTCTGAGGTTGCGTGTAGGCAAGTAGCCTCCAAAATAATCACCGACAGGTTAGGAAAGCACAGGAAAAAGAGACTTTGCCTTCTAGAAACCTCAAAGTGAATATCCAAGAAAATACAGTTAATTTCTGCTATTTGACTAGTTCAGCTCGTCAGTCATGATAATCCATTAGAGTTCAACCTCCAGAAGTGATGCAAGAAGCACTTTAAAATGCATTTCTAGTGGTACTCGGCAGGAATGAAAAGTAGCTGCCCAGCTGCAAAGCTTTTGGAAATGAGCCTGAGAAACCCACGGGTGTTTTAGTGGGCAGTCTCCTTTCTCCTTGAGTAACTCTAACTTAAACAGCCCTATTTGTTATCAATCACACTCTGACAAGTCCAGCATCTGGAAAGTAAAGAGCTTTTACAAATTAAATATACACAGTATTGATTTTTAACTTGAGTGTTACCCTACATGTAACAACCTGAGCCTTGCTCTAAACCACTACCTCAAAAGCTGTCCCAGCATTTGTCCCAGGGTGGTCTTCACAACGTCAAATGAGGCTGAATTTGGCAGTTTGGGGAGTGCTCAAGAAAGACATTGCTCTTCAGCACAGGCTGTACCACACAGCAGAAGCCACCAAGTCCTGCACGTTTCTAAATCCTCTGGGTTACACCATGAGTAGAGACTGAAGAGGACCAGGTCATTGCAGCAGATGACATCCCCCAACACCTCACACTTACAAAGTCTCTTCGCTAAATGTTACCGAAACAACAAACAAGCTTTGTACCACAACTTCTACATCTCCCTTTTTACTGCTAGTCATGAAAGTAAAGAGTGACCTAAAAATAGCAAGAAAAGCTTAAAAATGGACATATGACACACTGATCCCCCCTATGACATAGAGTCAGTTCCCCATTACAGATCAAAGGCACAACATGACAAAGCCCAAAGATGTCTTTCCAGAAAAATGCAAAAAAGAATTTTAAAATGCCTTTTTTTTTTTTTTAAATTATTATTCTTTTCAGGAAGTACTTAGTGGCAGCTGCTTATGTCAACACAAAAGCTCTGTTATAATCTTCAGGGAGAGACAAATAATATTAAATTGATTAAGTCTAAAAGCCACATAATTGCCAGGAGAGATTTATCCAGATTAGGTAAACTGAACTCAAACTTCTAAATACCAGTTTTCATATGTGCATCTCACTATCTTCCATTTTCACTTTACATATGCAATGCATTACTCGCATATGGCACCAGAGGTGTAATAACATTGCAAACTCCATAGTGCTTCCACTTCAGGGGTTCAGTAGAAAAAAATGCTTAAACTCAAGCCTGGGATTAAGAGTACAAAGCACCGGGTAAATTAACTGGCTCTACAACCCTGAACCTGAAAGCTACTCTAGCAGAGAGACCGGATGCCAAGAAGACACCTTCAAGAGCGTCTTGGAGAACAGTTTCACACGGCGAGCGCTTGGATGGGTCAGACACGGAATGATACCACTTGCAACCCGTCACTATTTCCACTTAGCATTAAAAAAAAAGACACACCTACAAAATTTTCTGCCTGTCTTTCAACAAGAACCATATCTACAAGCTTTACGTTTAAGCCAGACATATTGCAGACTGCCACTTCAAACTGTGCTCTCTTTGAACCCTTACACACCATTTGTGCACGCACAAGATTTTCGGTCACATCCAGTGTGCATTTTTCCAATTCCACCAATAATCTTTCCCACAGCTAATTTTCCACATTACTAATTAGAGGAGGAACACTTAATTTTCTTTTTTTTAATTTATTTTTTTTTAAATGTCTGAATTTCTTTTCATGCTGTGTTGGATATCAAAGAAGCACAGTCCTTTCCCACTATTTTCGGGCCTAGAAAAAGAGGTAACAAGATTTTTTTTTTTATTTTTATGAACAGTGCTTATTAGTGGTTGGTTTGTTTTTTTCCTAACCAGTCTAAGTTACACATTCAGAGGACAGTAATGTAGTATGACTACGTTTGGTCTACAGAATATTTGCTGAACTGCTAGCACCAAAGGGAGCAACTGAGCTGTATCCATGTCTTCTTGAAGATGTTGATATATGTAACCTCTTCTTTTTTTTTCTTTTTAATTTTATGTCCATGAAAGTGCTTGTAGATGAGAGACATAACACTATTTCAAACACCAGAGTCCTCCATGAGGATGCGCGGGCAGACGCTATGTACATGTCCTAAGAGTTCACTCGCTGTCAGCCAGGAAGATTGCCAGTGTAGTCCAGGGTCAGTGTTCATTGTTGTACTTTTTTTTTTTTTTAATTTTGAAAAGGACCAAGCACGTCATTCTATAAGAGAGATTTTGATCTCTTCAATATCTTCTTTAAGACAGGCTGCTCAAGTCTCCCATAGAAGGGAACACAATAGCTCCTGTTCTGCGTTACATGAAGCACTTGCGCAACTCTTCCTAACTTGCTCCGGAGATTGCAAGAAAAATGAGATTTAAACCATGTTTTATTCTGCTACGTTGCCATGCAGCCATCAGCCTGCCATGCTTCCAGGTCTGCAACCTGACTCAGGTTAACTCAGATGGGCTGAAGTGGCAGGAATTCCTTTCAAGTAGATAAATCCCAGAAAAAAAGAAAAAAGAATCCTCTCGGCCCATGGTGGAAGGGAAATCACATGCCAGCTCTTTAATTAAAATTACAGCAAGTCAAGTAGCTGATACTTTTCCCCTCTCCTGGTAAGGGGGATGAGACATTGTTCACAAGGGTGTTCTGTCGTGCCTCGCTGATCAACCGGCAGGCCAAGTCCAGGAAGAGTTTTTCCACATTATCCGACTCTTTCGCCGAGGTTTCCAGGTAGTACATGTCCTGTGCTTCAGAAAACTCTGCAGCTCTTTGCTGGGAGACTTCCCTCCTGTCAGCTAAATCAATCTTGTTACCTGCATGGAGAAAATATTTTGGAAAAGGAATTAATTTGACTTCCAAAACAGGAGACACAGAGGTTGATGAAGGGTAAAGAGGAGTTTGGTGTTGTATGGATGGATGGACAGTGGTTTTGATGTGAAAGTCCTAGTGCTTGCTCTCTCCTCCAGTTAATGGATTCCCCATACACCTGATCAAGTACATTTAATATCAGCTCATTTAATGGAATATGCCCTGTGAACACCCGAGTCAGCTTTAATTTAGCACCAGTGCATCTGTTTGCTGCCATCAACTGACGTTAAAGGATTTCCATTTTAACATCTATTGAAAATTCTCCTGTTGCTCTAAGGAGCACTTAAAGCGTCAATTATAGCACAGGAGACACTAAACGTGACATTTCTCATGTCATTACAAGCTTTAAAAGAAGGCTGGCATGGAAGGCAGCTTTCCTATTTCAATATTCCCACTGTTGAGGAGGCTGTTGAGGCTGAAAGAGGGACGGGCTTGGGGGCCACTCGCAGAGCGAGGTGGGGCGAGAAACCAGCCCCTTCCTTTGCAGAGCTCAGTTTAGCAGAGACTTGATTAAAGCCTCAAGCGAGCATCTGGCATGTTTATATCCTATTACCAGGCACTTCACTTCAAACATGATGTTTTGCCATAAATTAATCACACAAGGAAGATAACAGACGAGCACTTGCAATAACAGGGTGCTGTGTCCAGGGACCTGGGATGTTCAGGAGGAAACATCTCCTGGCCTCACTTCTATCAGCAGTTTTGTGAGAACTAGTGGGAGGAAAAGACTGCACTTCCACTGGCAAGCCAAGTCTCACCAGAGATCTCCTTTCCTTCCTGATAAAGCAGTTTCCTGGACCTGTTGTACACAATGAAGTTACTTTTCTAAACAAATTATCACCCAACACAAGCAGTTTATGGGGGTCACAATCTTCAGAGTGAACATTACGACTGTTATCATTTATATTTTGTGCCGTAGATGTTGATAATGAACTTAATGTTCCCTAAAAAAAAATATACATTTGTATATTAATTATTTCTGCACCATTTGTATGTGTGCTCTGTGCTTCTCTTGGAGTATAACAAGCTTCTTGTGTGGCAGCTCTGCAAATCCCCAGGCTCACTTGCAATACCACTGGGGCATGTAAAGTTCAAAAGATTTTGTTTTAAAGCCATCTTAAACATATTTTACAATCCTGTAGATTTTCTCCTTTGAACAACAAGATATTAAAGGTGATAGCCTGGTTTTCACCAAGTTATTTTTCCATTGCTCCTCATATATATTCCTGGGCCCTTAGAAGCTAAATCCTGACTAACAGACGCTGAAAGCAAAGCATGGAGAAGCACGGGTAGGCAAAATAACCTTCACCTTGCTTGCAGCAGACAGATGGCGTGAGGTCTGCTTTACCTTGAGTTGAAGCACTACAGATTAACATAACATTCAGTTATTTATTTTCAGTTTCCCTAAAATCCATGCAAAAGCACCCAGTTTTCCAGCTCTATCCCACCTATGAATATTATGATCCACACAACCGTCGCATTCTGATCTGGTTCCCAGATCTTGATTCCCAGATCTTGATTCCCTCAATACTCTGGTTGTTCCACAGCTGTGGGGTACAGCAACCCAAAGGAACCCCCAATTTGAACAGATCCTTGTATATTTGTAGAGATCCAAGCTGGGACACACAAGGGAAACTGCTCTATCCCTAGCTCAGTTGGTAGCTGCACCGTCAACAATTTAGTCCCATACGGGACCAACTGGTGGGAAGCAGAATTACAGAACGGTTTGGGTTGGAAGGGACCTTAGAGATCATCTAGATGCCCACCCCTGCCACAGGAAGGGACACCTCCCACTAGACCAGGTTGCTCAAATCCTTGTCCAGCCTGGCCTTGGACACTCCCAGGGACGGGACATCCATAGCTTCTCTGGGCAACCTGTGCCAGTGCCTCACCACCCCCACAGAAAAGAATTTCTTCCTACTATCTAATCGAAATTTACCCTCTTTGACTTTGAAACCATTACCCCTTGTCCTATCCCTACACTCCTTGATAAACAGCCCCTCCCCATCTTTCCTGTAGCCCCCTTTAAGGTCTCCCTGGAGCCTTTTCCAGACTGAACAACCCCAATAAGTATTCACCTCTGCAAGAAAAAGCCTTGGACCTGAGACAGGATCACACTTTGAGAAGTGCCTGTGGTGTCCTGAATATCCCTACCAGCATCTTGAGGTTATTTGCAGAAGGAGCAGTCCAAGTACTGGGTCCTGCACCACAGATGGTTAAAACTCTGTCCAGCAGTAAGTTCGGCCACACCAGTTTGAGCATCCAGCACCACCCAGTTCTCACAAACAGCACGTTTTCCTCCTGCAAACACCTTCATCTGCACCAACCTCCCGACACGCCAAGCTCACCCCTTCATCACACCAGCCCGCTCGGGGCAGCCGTCACTTACCCACTAGCACGGTGATGACCTTGTTGCTGGCATACTGCTCGATCTCTCGCAGCCACTCGGGGAGGCACCGGAAGGATTCTTCGCAGGTGATGTCATAGGTCAAGATCAACGCGTTAGCGCTGCGATAGTAACTCTGCGTGATGGATCGGAATCGCTCTTGTCCCGCTGTGTCCCAGATCTGCAGCTTTTGGCATAACAAGGAAGGGTGGGGTAAAAGAGAAGAAAAAAAAAAATTGCTGTTTTAATTCCATAGCAGCACTGTTTTGATCAAAAAAAAAAAAACTCAAACCAACCCACTTTCAGAGTAAAACCAATTCTGGGAAAGCACTTAGCTCTTCTCTCCTTTGGCTTCCCTTCCCCCAGCATTTTTTTGTTTCCATTCCTGGACTTGTGGATTGAAATGCAAGGCACAAAGTCAGCTGGCACCGCAGCCAACAGCCTCTGGAAGCCACAGGTCTGCAGGCTTCCACGCGACTCCAGCTCTCCCTCTGCTGCGGACAGAGCTGCTGGCCTGCAGTTACAGCGTAGGCGCTGGAGGGAGAAAGTCGCTTCTCCTGCCCCTGAAGTCCAACCAACAGCAGCACCCACCCAAGAAGAAAGAAGAAAGCCTTTCCTCTGGCTCCCAAAGCTAGTTCTGGTTATCCTGCAATGCTGCGCTGACGGGTGAAAACCACGGGATCAAACAAGCAGCTCAGCTGAAGGCTGATCTAAGGACTCGTAACACATTTCCTCTCTTCAGCCATCTCACCCAGTTGCCTGCCTTCCCAACACACTGTCCTGGTTTGAGCTAAACAGAACCAATTCTGTTCTGGTTAACACATCCTTAGCTATAGCAAAAAGGTCACGAGTGTTTGCCAAACCCTCCGGGTCCAGGAAGACAACATACATTTCCCAACACAAACTAAATTCATACATTTTATATAATTTGATAGTCTTTGGTGGGTCAACGAAACCCCAACTCTTCAAAAAGGCAAAGAAACAAACATCCAAAATTAAAACATTTCAGTATAAAGGAGTATTTCTTTGCTCCAGCTTTTATTTTTTTTAAAGCATCCCTTCCTGAAATTAAATATGTGAAAGGGTGACTTCCAGCCAGAATCCTGTGTACTTTGGGAAGGAAAAGGTAAAGTATTGGAGATTTTTCCATATATTCAGCAGCCTATAACAAAGAAAACCTTATTCTTGCCCAGTTCCAAAGTTGAACTATGCCAGCTACTCACATATGTGTTAGTTTGAAACAAGAGCTCCCAATAGCAGCTTTCAGACACGGGGTATGATTTTGAAAAAGTCCATCTTTTTCAGAGAAAATTATTTGTGGTTGTTTCACACCTCCTGGGCAACTTTGTGCTTAACCTCTTGGCATAGTTCATAGAATTACAGAATCAGAAAATCATTCAGGACAGAAAAGACCCTTGGGATCGAGTCCAACCATTAACCCTACTCTACAAAGCTCACCCCTAAACCATCTCCCCCAACACCATATTCAAACGACCTTTAAACATATCCAGGGATGGAGACTCAGCCACCTCCCTGGGCAGCCTTTTCCAATGTCTGACTGCTCTTTCTGTGAAAGGTTGTATTTAAACAGCTGAACCTGGTACCTGTAGTTAAGTGACATACAAAACCGTAAGTGAAATTATTTGCACATGAAATTCAGATAACAAATGAGTCCCCACTAGAACAAACTACCCTCCAAACTCCAGCAGATGGAAAAATACAGATAATTTTATTGTTGCTCAGCTATTTTCTGACCGGCTACAGTCATGAGTCTGCCTGTGTGTGAGGTGCAGAGGACAGGGAAGAGCCTCCAAACTTACAGCCACTGATAAACTCTTCCTGCACACAAAAGACACATCTTGCACTTCACCCCACTGATTATTTCTGCCAAATATTCTACAGCAACCATCATACTTCTATAATTTTTTTTTCAGAGGAACCAAAGGACAGTGTGATTCTGTGTGCCTGACTCAGCCTGCAGAAAACCCAGATGTTTATTTTCTTGAAGTCAGCTGATGCTTCCCACTCTTCCAACATTCGCACATACAGAATCGCAGAATGGTCAGACTGGGAAGGGACCTCTAGAGATCATCTAGTCCAACTTCCACTAAAGCAAGATCACCTAGAGCACACTTAGTTTTATTTTAACTTTTACACATTTAGCTTTAGGCATATGAACGTTTCCACCAAGCGCAGTAAGACCACAGGTCCATACAAGCATAGCCCTCTGAGGATGCTGAGCTTTGACCAGCTAGATAATCTCCTTGGCTCAGATTTGTATAGCCTCTTAGAAACAGGTGTCATACATATTTTTGGTTTAATTAGGAAAGGCCAAGCAGATGAAAAAGCCCTTCAACTATACAGTGCTGTCTCACCTCATCTGTCAGCAAGCTTTAGTAGCCACTACATATCTAAAATGGCTTGCACACAGCTTTCACGGTGAGCAAATTCCTCTCCACTGACTTTCAAATGCAATTTTGAAAGCTGGAAAGCTTTTTTTCCCCAGAAATCTATAATTTATTTTTCAAGTCTGAAAACCTTTTTGGTAACCAGCTCTGCTTTCTCATCCTCGATGCCAGCAGATGCACAGGAGAGGCTGCTCAGCACAGAAGTGGAGTCACGGCTCGGGCACCGTTAAATGAGCTAACAGGCAGAAACCTCATTTGACCGAGATGTCATTTTTATTGCTCTGTGCTTCCTGCTCTTCTCACTCACTAAACGTTTATTCTCACTAGCACTGCTTACTCAAAAAAAGTTTCAGCTACAAGATCATTCCCTGAAATAAATCCATTTGCCTTTCAGACTCCAGAAGGCTCATGCAAATGCCCAGAAGTTTGATACTAAGCTTCCTCCCAAGTTGTACATTGTAGGGGAGCTCCAACGCCTCCACTTTACTCTACTGGTGGGGTCAGGAAAGGGACTTTATTTAACAACTCATTATTTGCTATGTGAAATATAGCCACTATACCGGCTACTACTCCCTAAGGCTTTGTGAAACACAAGCCAGCTGAGGTGACTGGCAGAGTTTTGATTTAGCTTATAGAGCTTCCCTGAACTGTCCCTGCCCTTGAGATAGCCCATGTTGGTACAACTGTTCCCAAAGTTCTCTTAAGGAGTTTGCATCCTCAGTCCAAGTTAGTCTTAAAACAGGATTATGTCATGGAAGCACAAGTCAAACGCAGATAAATCCTTTAGGGTGAGTTCACCTGTCCAAAACAGAGACCTCAGATACAAGTGACATTCTTAAGGCTCCATCTGTACTTGACAGGGAACCAGATGCTTGGAAAGGAGAGGTGTGTGAAGCGGATAGGATTCATCTTCCTCAAGATCTCTCTTCTTCCTCCATTGACCAGGACAATATCGAGACAACTTGTTTAAGCCAAGTATATAAGGGAAAAATCAAATTCTACCTTCAGTGCAATTCTTAAGCATTTACCCAGCTTAGATCCTCTGAGCTGCTCCACTAAAGATGGTTTTCACTGAAAGTAGCATCTCTGCTGTCTAAGGAGCCTGGACAAGCAGCATCCATGTCCTGGCTGACCCCGCTACACAAGATGCCTGCTAATGAGCATCACACACACTGAGCCAAGCGCCAACACTACAGGGCCTACACGTGATCCTCACTGCTTTACTGCCCACTGCTCCGTCCCACTTGCACAGCAATGTGCCGAATATCAACTTGGTTTTTAGATATTTACATCTCTTGTCCTTCATCTGCTCAGGCTGGAAGGTCTTCTGGTCAAGGACCATAGGTTTGTACAGGTCCTCGCACAGCAGGGTGGCAGCCTGCTGACATGATCATGGCCTTTAAAATCTGACCTAAACTTAGGAACACACCACCTGCTTTTCTGCTTAAAAATTCTCTGTGCTGAAATACAGGTTAAAAAAAAAAACCAAACCCAAAACCACACAGGAAAAAGAGGGCTAAAAATCTGCACAAGTCTGCTGTTTCCATCCTATCATTTACACAAGCTTAAAAACGGGTCTTGATGTCACATCCAGCTACTGTGAGTCTCCCATTTGCTCATGACTAGATTTGATGGGAGCAAGGGGAAAAAATGCTGGTTTTCACTTCATTCCCCCCAAAATTAGGGCAGGCAGAGTAACCGCAGGAGCAGCTCAGGGACTCCAGACACCTTAACGTTAGAGGCTCAGATAATCACGCTCTTCTTACTCTTGGACACCACAGTAGCTCTAGCAAAATCCAGACTAATGAACAAAGTAGCACCAGCCAACACCTCTGGCTGCTGGAACCCAACCACAGACCCTGTTGAAGCATGCGATGGGTCCCCGGTGTGTTTTGCCCCAGGCAAAGTGGCTCTCTGCCAAGTGATGCTCAGGCTCAGTTTGGGAGTCAGCACAGGCCAAGGACAGTTTCCCAGCAGCAGTCTGGTGACAACCACCTTATTTGGGAGGTGAAAGAGTTAACACTATGGAGGACACTACCCTTCTCAATTCAACCTCTTGATGAAAGCACTTGTATCGTGACCAGCTCTGCTTGTCCCACCTTGGGAGAAGTGCAAGAGGAGTGTCCAGAAGTCTGTTCTACCCAGTGGCCATCTTGGAAGCTCACAAAAGACGACCATCATCAAGGAACATTGCAGCAGAAACACAAGAGATTTCTTCTTACCGGAAATGCTGTAAGCAGAGGTTGCACTGAAGAGCTTCTTTGTGGCTCCTCAACCCCAGCCAGATACAACCTTAGGGCCTCCTAAGCAAGGACAGAGTTTTGCAAGATCTCCCTTTTCCATCCTCTCCCTTAGAGTAGGTTCCCTGCTATGATTTTGATGGTAATTGTGGAGAGGGGAGCAAAGATTGCTGGATCCAGCATTGCTTGATCTCTGCACTTCTCCACATTCCTTTCAGCAGCAACAAACCTCAGCTATGGTTCTGCCACACAAGTTTATACTTAAAACCACCAGGCTCCTACCTTTACTTTTTCACCATTTATTTCCACAGTTTTGATCATAAAGTCAACTCCAATTGTGGCTCCTTGACCCGGTGGGAAAAGTCCCTGAAAGAAAACAAAGAGTTTCATTAAGCAAATTTCTGTAGCACGACAAAACTCTCTGGGTGTCAGTCCTCACCTTTTTCCATCCTCAAAACTATTTCTTTCTTATCCTGTTCCCCAGACACTTATTTCCATCACACTTAGAGAGGAAAACAAGACATTTCCCCAGCACAAAGATTATTATAATTCAATCCCACAGTGTTTTCCCTGCCTACATGTCCCCATTGACTTCAGAGGTAGGAAAACAAGAAAGAGAATGCATAAAAAAAGAGGGGAAAAGCCCTTCTGTTTCTGTGCAGAACAGGAAGGATAAATGAGGAGCCTCCATTCTACTTCCCTATGGCTTGAAAGAGGTGTGAGGACCCACGTGGGACAAGATGCCTTTGCTCCTGAAACCTTACGCCTTCCCTCTCCACCACATACCACGGCATGGAAAAGCATTTCTGGCAGCTCCCAACCCCAGGGTCACATCCCTGCACAGCACTTTGGGAGTGAAGCACAGAGCCAGCCCCTACCACAGCAATTACAAAGGCCGGTGTGATGCTGGTGGTATTTGACTGCAGCACTATCAGAAAGGAGCCAGAGTAAACAAACGAACAAAAAAAATAAACCGAGTTTTTGGATTTCTGGTGTCTAGGTCTACAGAATCATGTTGTATTTGGGGCACATCCATCCCCTACAGCAGCTGAAGTGCCAAAGCACAAGCAGCAGAACCAGCTGGAGATTTTTGTGGTTAACTAGCTTTATTGCCATGGGCTTTAAAACCACAGCTTTAAAACTAAGATTAACAGTGAGGGGGGAGATCGCTGACAATTCCTACTGAAGAGTGCAACAGAAACCCCACAACTTATGTTTTACAGTGTATCAGGCAAAACCTTCTCTTGCTCTGGATCATAGAAGCACAGTCCTTCCCATGTTATTCCACCACAAAATTTCTAGTGTTTTAACAGATTATTTAATTATCTACTAATGACAAGTAACAGGGGGAGCTTTCTGCAGCAAGACACAAGAAGGCGCTTTGTAGCCCACCAATAGATGTGATGGTCCTTTTAACTGGTCCAGAGCACCTCTAAATCAGGAGTTGCCATCCCAGCAGCTTTCAGAGGACACTTCCCATTGCAAGATCCTCAAACACGGCTAAGGAGAGCACTTGAGACAGTTGTGATGCTGTGCCAGTGCGTTGCTACAAGTGATGCATGCACCAAGAGTGTGGACAACAAAACGCTTTCGAGCCATGATGCTGGCAGAGCTACAAGTTCCACGCTCCCATCCCAGTGCTATCCCCACCCCGAGGTCCCACAACCAAGGAGCATTCAACCTTACCTGAGTGAAGCGACGGACTAAGCAGGTCTTGCCCACACCGGCGTTGCCAATTAAAACAATTTTGAAGAGGAAATCATAATCTTCCATACTCATTTAAGCAACTGCAGGAGAGACAGAGAGCACAACACGATGGTAACTGCGGCAGTGGGGAAATGCCTTTTTATTCCTACTGAACTTTATTCCTCCAAATATTCAGATCAAAGGTCTCCTGGCACGTGCATGGCTCCTCAGATAAGAGGAAGAGCCCTTCCCATTCCAAGACAGGGCATCCACGTAGCCCAGCGTCACCTGCTGTGACACCTCAGCTATGTTTCAGCTTTTGTGCCATCTCACCTGCCTGCCCACGAATTAGAAATGCTGGTTTTCATTTTTCCAAGCAGCGCTCCACAAGCCCAAGACACTGTTTCTTATATTTCCCCAAACATTTGTTTTGGGTTTAACTACATTGGCTCCACAGGGCAGCGTGGACTTTGTCACATTGCCCAAGGGGATCACACCATTCGTTTCTGTCAGGGTAATATCCAAAAATCCCCCACAAGCCCCTCCAGGCAGGCGCTGAGCACCCACATAGGGGCTGGGGCACACATGAGGGCAGGACAGAGCAGGAAATTAAAATAATTATAAAATAAAAAGTAGCAGCATTTGCCTTAAAGACAGAAAGAGTTCGTTTTCTAAAGTTGTAGTGGGGAGCGGGGTAACAGTTTGGCTGAAGCACATTCAGAGTGGATTTTTAAAAAGAGGAAACAATAGATGCTGCTAGGAATGTCACTACTACTCTGATAATTTTTTTTAGTTTTGCAATAATAGCTTGCTTGGCGTAAAGCTCAAATGAGAAGTGAACACAGAGGAAAGTACCCAGCACACGTGCCCCACTACGTCCAACCTCCTTGGCAAGACGCAGAGACCGACATTTCAGCAATGTCACAGGAGATGGGCAGGGCTGCCTGCATGGGGGAACACCTACAAGGCTTCCTAAGGCCACTCCAGGTATGAAGAGAACCAAACAAATAAATGTAGAGTTCGCTGCAGCTGAGCAAGGCATGAGGGATGAGCACCCACACCTCCATCTCCAGTGCAACCAAAGTGCTGCCAACACTGTGACCACAAAAGGAGTCTGTAACCTTTGGCAAAAGCCTTTGATATCTTCTTTGAAAGAGGATGCAGTTGGAGATTTCAGGCAGACTTTACAGACCAGGGAGCAGATGGGCAGTATCCAAACCAAGCTGTGTCTGGGAGGATCCAGGTTTTGTATGTGGCATCACAGACCCGTCTTGAAAATTAGTTTAGGGTGTCGGCAAAGAAGCAGATTCACAAGCCATCAGCTGAGATTCCAGGTGCGGTGCTACCTAAGCGTCAGTACCTAACCCTCCAGTACCCACAGATCAGGCACTGGATGAGGAGATAGAGCCAAAGATGGGAAGCACATGAGCTGGGGGAGTGGGGGTGGAAAGCTTTACGAAATTCCTATCCTCAGTAAAGCCCCAGATTGCTTAAAGCACTTTCACAGAACTGACAAATGGAGCATGTGTGGCACAGGCAAAGCAAGCTTCTCACACTCAGCCCAAAAGGCAGAGTCCCTCTCCTGCTGCCCCTAAAGGTCTTTCCTTGGGAGGGTGCATTGCCACATACCAGAAGGCCCCAGCTGCAGACCCCAGTCCCGCCATACAGCTGTGACAGGCGTATAGCCAAAGAGCCAGAGATAAGGTAAAGCTGATACAGCCTGGGCCTGCCTGGCAGGGCACATGGAAGCGGCTCTCCAAGCACCACCAAGAGCCTGGTGGACCTGAAGGCAAAGGAGGTGGAAGACTGACTCAGCTGCTTCACTCCTCTGTGATCCTTGGCCTTTCCAGCAGCCTACAGAAAAGGGTAACCACACCAATTAGTGACTAATGGTCTGCATCACATCAGCAGACAGTTAGTAAGGATGCAGCTGAGTCACTCCATGGACATGTCACTTTGCCTGGGCCAGTGACACAGCGTGTCACTTGCCCTGCTGCTCCTTTGCCGAGCTGGAGCTCAGATCCCTGGCAAAGCGCCACCAAACAGCAGCAGCTGGAGCTGTCCTGAGGATGCTCTAACCCTGCCTTGCTCTGATACATAAGACCTTGCAGCACCCTCCCATCTCTGAAAGAGAGGGACCTTAAAGAGTAGCCTCAAAAAAACGCCCTTTTTATTTTCTGGGGTTGTTATTTCGTGTAGTCATTTTGCATGTCCACGCCCAGCTCTCGCAGAGTGGGGCTGGATAACAACTACAGTATTAAGAATATGTTGACAGTGCTTTGACAGTGAAGGCTAAATGTTAATATACTGTTTCAAGCTTCCACATTAGCCAACACGAAGAAAAACATGATCCACTAAAAGCTATTTCAAGACTAACGAGACTTACTCAGCACTAGATAATTATCCCTGGGATGCTTCAAATCCCAGAGGGCATTGCTCCCCCTCCCACCCTCCCCCGAGGGATTTCAATTCTATTACTTGTACCCTAAACAATCCAAGGTTCAAATTTATCTTCCCAGGAAGCTTAAAAATAAACTTCCTCTGCAGATCTGTGAGCTCAGAAACACCAAATGGCTCAGACATACCCTAGAGTTATGTCTGGGCCCCTTCATTAGGCTCCAGGACTAATCATGTATGATAATGATACCAAACGGGACAGGAGGATGAACCGAACAATGCAAGGATGGACCAAACACCAGAAAGGAAGAGACGCAGAAAGTAGGGGCACAGGAGGGGAGAAAGCAAAGGAAGCAGCAAGAGAGAGAAGCGATTTGGGAGGCGGAGCGGGCAGGTGAGGCCGACCATCGCTGTGTCCTACCGCCCC